TGGACCACACCACTTGCCTGTTCAAACCCCACCACTAACTCCCCTTTGTCCTTAAGTTTCTTGTCCTCACTTTTATGGGCCTACTAATCTCCATCTTGGCCTAGATCTCTGAACTTGTTCTTGCTACATCCTAACTTCCCACCCTGTTTGTTTCTTTCTCCCGCTCCAATTGCCAAGGCCTTTTCTGTAGTGCCCCTGGTCCCAATTCCTAATGGGTCTGGCCCACATCCTCACCTCATTCAAATCACTTTTAAAGACACTTCTTCCACCATGCCCACAAACACTAACCCACACCAATTAATTATCCTCTCCATCCTCTCCATCCAATATATGAAAACAAAGGGCCAGATTCTCAGCAGGTTGAATCACATAGCTCCATTGGCTTCAATAGAGCTATGCTGATATACACTAGCATAGGGACTCACAACATGCAAATTAATATTTTCCTACTGGTCTCTTACTGTGTCTTGCTTTATCTATCTCTTATCTTCCAGAGGCTTTGTTGTCTTGAACAGCACAATGCACTCTGCCAGCGCTTACAAACTAATAATGAGACACTCATGAAATTCCTAGCGAGATCGGTGGAAATTGCATCTGAATATCTGAGGGCAGAACTGATTTCAGTGCGAGGTTTGCCTGACTAAGGTCTTCAGGCAAAGCAGAATAATGTCTCCCTCTCACCCAGGCAAGAAATGGCAGAGTAATTTATCAATCTGTACTGTACAATTACATACTCCTTATATATTATCCACAACTGAAAGAATCTTACAATGGCAAGAACATTACATTCTGCTCTCCTTAGGCTGATCTAATTGAAAATTGACTTGAACCTATTGCAAATCTAGTCCACGTTTCATAAAAACAAACAAACATACAGGGCCAAATTCTGTCCTCATCAAATTTTAATAGTGCAATGCTCTTTCCAGTTGTCAGCTTCTGAACATGGTACCCCTGAACATCAGAAAGTTTCTTCTCCAATAACAAGCCTGTTCACAGAAAGAGGCTTCCAGCTGAGATGATAGGAGCTGTGGAATGTGCAAATGTTAGGCCCACGTATGCACTGAGACACGTAAGGGCAACATTGGGACTGTTTTATGTAGAAGCACATGGGCATTTATTTTCAACCACACAACCCATTTTTGGTGAGGGGTTGACAGTCTGACTCAGTAGGTGTAATTGGAATATGGGGATTGCCAAATGGGATAAATGCAGTGGTCCATCTAATCTGATATCCAGTTTCTAACAATGGCCATTACCAGATGTGTGAGAGGAAGGTGCAAGAAACCCATTTGGCACACAATTATGAACTAACCTGCCCACAGGAAAAGTGTCTTTCTAATCCCCATTCAGTTAGCAGTTGGTGTCACAGGCTGTCTGTCCCTTGAAGGCAATCTAGGCTCAGCCTTGCCTGTGACCTAGCAACCCCAGTGGTAATCAGTGACTGCAGCTGAATGTGTTAGAGAGATTTAATTATATTAACTGGCCCTATCTGTGAGGAGGGAATTAGGAAAAAACATATACACAGAGCTGAAACTGTAGATGGACAGTAAAGGCTAGGAGCAGCAGGGGAGTACTGATGGAGGCAGCCAGGGTTGCTCCTGAGTTGTGCAGTCTGGCAAGCCTTCAAAGAGCATGACTCTAAAGAGGAGAGAGTGGGGGAACAGCCAGAAAGAGATTTTGTGTTTAGCTGGTGTGACCCAAGAACATCTTAATGCCAGCTGACAAGAGGGTCTGAAGGAGTAAAGGTACCTCCTGATTCTGGTATGTACATTCTGGTTCACCAAAGATCATCATGTGAAGTCTTAAACGAAAGCTGGTGTTATGCTAGCCATTAATATTGTTGTAAAATGTACGTCTGCATGCAATGCAAGGAGTTATGTGTGTATATATAAGAAAATATGTTTTAAAGGCACAGGTGGAAAAACAAAAGTTTTCTTCCAGACAGGAGACAAGATTTGCAGATCTCTGTCCGGATTCTTGAAAGTGGGATCTCAGCCAACCTTAGGGTGAAATAGTCTCTGTCTAAAGAACTTTAACTACTTTGTTAAGTATAGTGTCTAGAAAGCCCGTTATGACTTGTTTCACATGTAACCCTTCTGCCAGGCGAAGCCAGCAGCAACCAGGGCTGGGTTCAATATCTAGGGGTTCCTTTTCAACAGTATAACACAAAACCAGCTCAAGCCCCCACCCAGTAACCTGGGAAAATTACACACCATCCCGGGATGCCTCTGATAGGCAATACTTTCCCACTCGCAAGTATAGTATTGGAATGAAGAAAAGGAACTTTTAATTAAAGGAGGGAAGTAACTCTGCATTAATTTGGGAAAACACCGCAACCAGGGTTCATAAAAATAAACCATGAGTAAAAGACCCACCCCCAAGTAGGGTGGGCAGTGTCCTTTTCCCCTCAGGTTCTTAAATCCAGCAACACAAAAGGCCCTTTACTGTGCCCGTCCCTTCTCTGCACCCCACTCACAGTTTGTGTCCTTGTCAGTGCAGACCCAGAGTTCAAACATGCATCTGCAGAGTTCACCTCCCACCCTGGGTGGAGGTAAGGAGGCACCTTACTCGCTGCGCCTCTCCGCCAGCCGTCCTGGTGTCTGCTTGCTGCACATCTCCACCAGCCACTCTGGTCACTCACTCTGCTCACTGCCTCACCAGACACTGGCTCATCAACTATCAGTCACCTTCTGCTGCCACCTGCTTCTCTCTGCAGTGACCTCTGCATATCAGTCTCTTAGTGATTTTTTTCAGCTCTTCATAGGCAGGCAGGAACACTGCCCCATCTCAAGCGATTTCAGCTCTGACTATTTAAAATAACAAAGAGGCTTCTAATGAAGCCTATTTAGCTCTACTCTTTGAACGGTGGTGAGGAACAGGTCAACCCAGTCTGAGACTGCTAGGGAGCATCTACACACCTCCTACAAGGGACATCTGTCCCCACCCATCTTACTTTCACAGGGATCTGGCATTTGAGCCCCTGGCTTAATGAGATCCTTTCAGCTAAAGATGAGCCCCCCCTCAATTGGGACAGTTTAAGCACAGTCCTGCTTCCCTGTATTCCTACAATAATTACAACATTTTGGTAACAGCATTTCACTACCTCTGCATTCAGTACTAAGGTGATTTGTGCCCAACGCCAGCCAAAATTGATTACTTTGACACTGCTCTATGTGCTGAATATCTAAGCAGAGCAGGAGCAAACTGTATTTACATAAACACACCCAAAGTCTATCCCCCTCCCAGGTAGCTGTCAGGGGAGCATTCATTCAGACCCTGCTTACACATATGTAACCATTTGTTTCCAATATCTGTACTCACTATCTCCAGTCTTCCATAATTAACTTACTCTTGCTTTCACTATAAATATCTCAGTGCTGTGATATTAAACAAGACGCTGATCTTGAGCTGAATCATATAATCTGGTGTGTGCTATTCCTTTGGGAACAACGGACTTGGTAATTTGGTGTGTAGCCAGTGACACGGGCTGGATATCACAGGGAAATGCTTCAAAGGGACTCTGGAACCGGATGCAGCTATTACCTTGAAAGGCAAAGTAAGGGCTGGCATTGCCCAGAGGAGAATATTGAATGGCTAACAGGCGGGTAAGGAGCTGACACCCAACCAAGCACAAGCAAGATTCCCTCTTGCTGGTGGCAAAGCGAATCATAGTGCTGGGTACCCTGTGAACGGTCCCAGCTGGGGACAACTGAAGACAGACCTCGGAAGAAAGGAGGTATGCCTGGTGGGAGACTGGGTGAAAGACTGTAAAGCAGCCAGACCTCAGCAAGGAAGAAGCTGTGCCCCCCCAGAGAGAGACAGACATTTTAACTTATTGTACGCTCATAAAGTAGCCCCCAAAAGGGGTGCTATTAAATGACTTAAGCATTGGTCATGTGCTGCAGAGTCAGCAGAGAATGGAAACTGGGGACAGGTGCTGCAGAACTCCCCGAGACGAGTAGGTCATGCTGCATATCCACAGTCAGGTTAAACACTGAAGCCATATTTTATGTGCCCTAACATAACTTTAAGTTGAGACTCAATGTCTTTCTAAAAGACATGATGAAGCTCAGTCAGGAGTCATGGGTTTGCTGTAGAATTCACTGAGTGAAATAATATGGCATGTGTTATGCAGGATGTCAGATTAGGTGAATAGAATAGTCCCTTCTGGCCTTAATCTGTGAAACAATGGATGTGCTTCTTATCTGTATAAACATCCAATCTATCTTTTTCATGACCTCAATGATACCTTGTGGCAATGAGTTCCACAGGTCAGTTGTGCATAGTGGCTCACACCCTGCCCCTTGATGGATTACTCACTATTTCTATACAACAGCTATGGAGGATACTCTCCTAATCCCACAGAAAAATACTTTAGTTGCTGTTAGCCAACTGACATATAGAAAAATTCACCAAATATGTACAGAATGAGTCAGCTTGTGGTTCCTATTACAGAATATGCTACACCTGTTACTTTTCTTAGAATGCAACATGCAGGATATCCATTATGCACTGATCTCCTTTTTTTATCTGTATTCTTCATGCTTACTTGCTGTCTCTCCTTTATCCCGAGCAGTGGTGTTGAGTTTTGCTATGACATTAGTCAGATTTCAACCAGTCATTTAGGGGTAATTAGTCTGTGGATAATTTGAAGGCTGATTCATTTTTTTGTTACCTGTGATTACAAACAGATATTCTTAAATATTACTTTAACTCCAGCCATTTGTCTCTTGTCGAGAGAAATTTAGATACATGTTCTTGTAATAGAATGTAACCGTTGACTCTCATATAATCCGGTTGACAAATGGCCCTAATGCTCCGTCTCGTCATGGCAAATGGCACCAATGAACAATGGTGAAAGTGCACATTGCACTCTGTGACAAACCTTGTCAGTTCAATTAATTATGTTTTGTTGCCTAGTCGAGTATGTGCAGCCAGCGCACTGTACCCTTTGACCTGTTAAACGTGTAATAATAGGTCGACAAGATGCACTGGCTGCTTCAATCCTTTGGATCTTGACAGAAGACACAGTCGGGCTTCTGATTTGCTTGTAGTTCAATCTGAATGGTGACTGAGTGAAAGGTGTAAGTGTCAAAGAGAACTTGAGTAACTTCTTTCAGGATCTGGTGATTGTCCACTGTGTCTTCTGTAGATAGTGAACAAAAATTATCACACTGCAGAAATGCAATACTTTTAAGAAACCTAAGTGACTACTGAAACTATTTGCAAACATTTGGGATGGTCTACTTCTCTTTCCAAGTTACATCTTAATAACTATATTGCAACTAGCTGTTCAGTCTTGCTCAGCAAGCTTGTACCCTATGTTGTAGCTGATCAAAAATTTTCAATTTTTTTAATAACAGTGTTCTACAAAAATATTGGGGGGGAAAGTTGTTGCTTTTATTTGTTTTTAACAAAAAATACATTTGGTTTAACAAGCACCAGATACAGACAAGCAGTTGTATCCCAATCAGAAGAAATTGACTTTACTAGGCTTCAGCTGAATTATCATTTTTCTGTTTACAGAAATTTACTGACCTGTGACAACGTGAGCAGATAGAATAACTTGATTCATTGTTAGAGACCAGAGATGCAGGTTGTGGATAGACTCCACTTTGTTGACTGCTAGAATTCTCTCTCTCACTGCATCATAATTAAATCCCTTGGGTGCTCCTGTAGAGGAGGAAATATGCCTTTTGATTAAATAAGAACTATATTCAATTAAAGGACACACAGAGAGACCTCTGAATCTTTACTGCATTAGATTTGGGTTTTCTTATAAAAACAACATGGGCCATAGAGTACAGCTCTATTTTTCTGTTCACTGTAAAGTTAACATGCTTATACTTTTGGGCTTCACAACATCCTCCAGCAATGAGTTCCACAGGTTGATTGTATGTTGCATGAACAAATACTTCCTTATATTTGTTTTAAACCTGCTGTCTATTAATTTCATTGAGTGACCCCTGGTTCTTATGTGATGCAAAGGGTAATTCACACTTCCTATTCACTTCCTCCACACCATTCATGATTGTATAGACCTCGATCATATCCCCCCCCCTTAGCTGTTTCTTTAAGAAGATTGTTACTTTTCCATTTATAAATCTCTCTTCATATGGAAGCTGCTCCATCCCCCTAATAATTTTGGTTGCCCTTCTATGTATCTTTTCCAATTATAATTTATCTTTTTTTGAGCTGGCGTAACCAAAACTACATACAGTACTCAAGGTGTGGGCATACCATGGATTTATATAGTGGCATTATGATATTTTCTGTCTTATTATCTATCCCTTTACTAATGGTTCCTAATGTTGCTAAAACTGCCACTGCACATTGAACAGATGTTTTCAGAGAACTATCCAAGATGACTCCCAGACCTTCTTGAGGGGTAACAGCTAATTTAGAACTGTTGTATTAATTTAGATGGAATATATGGGCTCCAGGTGTTCGCATAAGGCAGTCACTGTCCAACATTAAACAGTGTTAAACAAAGTCCGGAGCTTGGTTTACAGAAGCCTCTGCCTGCTTAGCACCATGGCAAAGACACCATTAAAAATCCATTTTTATTAAAAATACAGAAAAGAAAAAAAGTTTACTTTTCAGATGCTTTAAATAAGACTTTCATTTTAAGAACTTCCCTTGTTCTATTTCTCTTTAGCTGAAGAGAGTTTTTAGAAAGAGAAACTCTGGTTGTTTGACCATCTCTTGAATGGTATCAAAGACAGTAATAACTGTCCTTTTGGGAAAAAGAGAAAATGTTAGTTGAGATGGGCTGGAGATGTCAATGCTGCTGTTCTGTTGTTGTTAAAATCAAGTCCTAGAAGGAAAAGCCCCCTTGTTTGACAGTCTCTTAGATCAATGTTTCTCAAACTTTAGCAACCCGAGGACCTCTATTTTGATTTAAAAAACTTTTGTGGACCCCCAAGCCGCCCTCCTCAGCCCCAGGCCATGCCCCCACTCCACCCCTTTCCCCAAGGCTCCACCCTCATCCCACCTTTCTTGAGGCGCCACCCTCATCCCACCTCTTCCCGCCCCTGCTCCACCCCCTTCCCCGAGCACACCCTGTCCCCACTCCTCCCCGTGCCTCCTGCATGCTGGGGAAGTTCCGCAGTGTGCAGGAGGCACTGTGAGGGAGCGGGAGGAGCTGATCAGTGGGGCCGGACATGATTCCACCTCCTCTCCTTAGTGCGCTCTGTCCCCACTCCTCCCCTCCCTCCCAGCGCCTCCTGCACGCCAGGGACAACTGTTCCCTGGCGTGCAGGAGGCACTGGGAGAGAAGGGGAAGGGTTGATCAGCAGGGCCTGTGGACCCCCTGGAATACCATCACGGACCCCCAGGGGTCCATAGACCCCAGTTTGAGAAATGCTGTCTTACATGGTATCAAAGATGATAAAAACTATCATCTCAGGTGATGTTTGGGATTCAGCAGGAGCCAGTAGGGGTGGCAATGTCATCTGTCTCTGTTCCATTCTGGTCAGGACACCCCACTGGATGAAGGCCCATATCCCAGGAAACAGTGAGGGTGGCAGCCAGGATGGTGACGCTCACTCCAGTAGTCTATCTGTTCTTTCTGAGTGTTTGATTTTTGTTGTTCTTTTCAACTTTCCACACACAAATCTCTTTCTTATAAGGGCTCAAAAAGGGAGTGAGAGGTGGACTAGCCCATTCCCTCATTATTTTGTCCACCAATTAGGCCTAATATCTGATATACCAAATTTTGGCTCATTAACTTCAAGCTGCACCTCTCTTGTTTTTAACAAGCTTAATTTCAACACAGTCCTTAAATCATAACAACTTGGTCTTTTTGTTTAGATTAATGCAGTTATTCTGTCTCCCTTTCATTCCTTTCCCGCATCAACATTTGTTATTAGAGTTTATTTTAACATTTTTGAACATTTACATACTTTTTACAGTTGAGCTCACAATTCAGGCAAATTTGTAGGCTTTGTTGTCGGAAAAGAACCCATCATTTTGTATGTAAAGTTGGGACTATTTTTCCAATGTGCATTACTTTGCACTTAACACTGAATGTCATCTGTCATTTTGTTGCCCAGTTACCCAGTTTTATGAGATCCTTTTGTAACTCTTCACTATTGGATTTGGACTTAATTGTCTTGAGTAGTTTTTTTTACTGCTTTCCATTGAGAAAACTGACCATTTATTCCTACTCTTTGTTTCCTATCTTTTAAACAGTTACTTGTCCATGACAGGACCTTCCCTCTTCCTAGGACTGCCTGCTTTGCTTAAGAGCCTTTGGTGAGGGACATTGGCAAAGGCTTTCTGAAAGTCCAAGTACACTATAACAACTAGATCACCCTTGTCCACATGCTTGTTGACAACCTCAAAGAATTCCCTTTATAAAAGCTATGTCATCATGTAGTATAATAATATGGCCAATTCAACTCAGTTGTGCCTTTCTTACAATAGCTCCAATGCCAGTTATTTGTGCTTACACAAGAACCTCAGTGTCTTGTGTTTTGTTCTGTCAGTTTATCACAAGAATACTATACTGTAGGGAACACAGACTCAGCACAGTATGGTGCTGAAAGGAAAGGTCTTCATCAGAGCTGATCACAAACTCTCTGAAGGAATCATTTCCTGTGGGGAGAATGCAGATTCCTTGGAAAGTAACGTTTCACAGACACTGTTCAATTTGAATGAAGGTCAAATGGAATGCAGGCAGTGGTCTGATGGAACCCTATCTGCCAGCTGACCAACCCAGTTCCTCAGCAGCCTGCCTGGCAGGTTGATGGGGAGCCAGAAGCCCTGGGAGCATCAGCTCAGGTGACAATCCCAGGGCTTCCAGGCTCCTGACTCCCCTTCAGCCCACTGATTTGAGTGGAATTAACCTCCAAAGAATTTAGCCCAAAGTTCTTAGCAGAAATACATGGGATGGAATGGGTTAAACGGAGGTTAAGACTTGCCTAATGTCACATACTGAGAAGGCAGCAGAGCTAGAAACAAAACCCAAAGTTCTAACTCCCAGGCCTTTGGGATAACCAACAAACCATGCGTCCTCCACTTTCAATACCTAATGTAAGAGAGATGACCTGCTAGGTGCGGTATTCTGGCTAGACACATTTGACACTTTAAGCACCTAAATCCCCAAATCTGGCCCCACTCAGTTGCTGCTGAACCCTGTAGGCACCTAAAGTCAGCTGGCACCTATGTTTTCACAGTATCACTTCCTTAGGCGCCTATGTTTCTGCCTGGGTGCATGTGCGCTTCAGCCTCACTCTCGGTGTTCGGATGCCTAAGCCTTAGAGCGTTGCAGAAACCAGAGAAAGATAGGTGTTGCTCTACCTTATTCACCTGGGAGGCCCAATCTGATGTGTGCACTCAGAGCTCGCCTGCCAGATCAGGCCTCTCTAGGTGAGCTTACACAAAATGGAGGAGAAGCTCCCCCTTCATAATATAACTTTTTAATACAGTGGTTGGGGTACTTACCTGGGATGTGGGAGACCCTTGATTCAAGTCCCTCCCTTTGCCTGAGAGGGAGACAGGATTTAAACAGGGCTTTGCCACCTCTCGGGTGAGTGCACTAACTGCTGGGCTGTGGGATATTCTGATGTGGGGCTCCCGCACCCTCTCCTGTAGGAGCTGTTCCACTGTGGGTTGATAATTTTAAAAAGCCATTGGGGCAGGGGGACTGAATACTGGGTCTTCCATGCAAGTGTCCTAACCACCAGGCTACAGAGTCAATTTCTTGAACACTCTCACTGGCCCAATGATTCTTTCATTATTTATTCACCCTAACCCCTGGGCTAACAGGTGTGAGGGAGGTCCTCCTCTTTCCCCACCCCCCTCATCTCTTGCAAAAAATGGCATGGGTACCTAACCCCAAGGGACGGTTTGCAGCTAAGTATCCCAAACAGAGGGAGGCACCTTCCTCCAGCCTGGATTTAGGCACCAAATTCACTGAGAGGGTAAGGATTAAGCCATCCTTGCTTTGGCATCGCCCATTGGCTAGTTTAGGCAAGGAGCTGCCTAGCGTGGTGGCTTCTGTGAATTCCATTTTTAGGCACCTATCTCCTTCCATTCATTGTATAGGGAGTCTAGGGAGTCTGAACTCGGGCTTTGTGAAACCCACTGATTTTCTAGGAGCCTAAAATTTAGGCTTTGCAATTGCCATGCCTACATTTTTGTGACTCCCACTCTGGATTTCTACCCCATGACAGGTGAACACAGAGGCAACCTCTAGGAAAGCTTTATACTATGACTATACTGATACATTTCTTTACTGAAACAAAGACGTACACAAAAAGGAAGAGATAATAAAGACATATGCTGCAATAAGCCTTGCAGAGAGTCAGGTTGGTTAAACCATAGCAATCCAAAAAGCTACATAACAACAGTTCCTCATCCCTTTAAGGCCTATGTTTTCTGTAGTAGAGGCAATAGCTGCCTCATATCGGTTAGCCCCAAGAAAGCAAAAACTTGTATCTGTGACTGCTACTGTGACTTTCAGCCTTGGCAAATCAAACATCAGGCCCACATCTAGGCAGTCTCACTACGTTAATGAAAAGGTGCTTAGAACTGTCCATTTTACCTTGAACTCTAACCTGACTTTGAAAGATGCTTGGATTTGCTCTTTCAGATCAATGTAACCAAAACCGTAGCAATGTTTTATACCTCCGTTGCTTGATAAAATGGCTAACCTGCAACACAATTTTTATTTATATTTATTTTTGGCACAAACTTGGTTGTGGTCATGATTCATAATGGAAATACACAATGCACAAAACAAAGAATTCACAAATGCCATAGGGGTTATGGGAAGCAATGGTATACATGTGAAAAACAAAGAGTTGTAGGAATTCATCATGGTTTCACTAACAAAACAGCAACATACAGATTCTTGGAGAAGATTCAATGGAACACTGGAATAGACATAACTCTGTCATTATATCATCTAAAATAGTTCTAATTAGAATTATGTTTAGCGTATGCTTAGAATTATGAAAATACTGAAAATGACATCACTGCACTGCTATGTTAGGACAAACTATTGTTTGTTGTTTAGCTTGCTGCAGGTATTATGCTGCTGTGTTAAGAAAGGGCTATGCTCCTATCCTTTAAGGAGGCAGAGCGCAAGGGATTTTGGATCTCAAAAGAACTAGAAGCACACTGGGGGGGTATGCAAGATCAGACGACGTGTTAAAGCATTTCTGTGTTTCTGACTGCAGCTGTCGATGGTAGCCCACAACTGATACCCTAAGAGAATTATACTAGCATCAAAATATTCTAGTCCTGAAATCTAGAGACCAAATTATGTTCTCCAGTATGTTCACATAACTCCCACTGCAGAATTGTATGTAAATATCTGAGAAATTGAAATTGAAGAGGGTCACATGAAGAGCAGAATTTGGCAATTATTTTCTAGGTATTTTCACAGACATGCTTTTTCCTTTGCTGGAGTAAAATATACCATCTAGTATCCATTTGAAGTGCTCTAAGTGTTTATTTTAAAATACTTTTGAGTTCAATTCAGATTTACTTGTACAACGTCTAATACACGAAGGGTCTGGTTTGTTTGTTTTTTTTCAAAAAGTCAGATGTCCATTTGCACTTCTAATCTGTGTGCACAGTTGCCATGAATGCATGTACTGATTGGCTGTTTGAGCACGCAGATGGACAGTTAATGTGTAAATGGGCATTTTGAACATGTGAATTCCTAATTTCTGCACACAACTGTAGTAACTTCTTGCAAGATTGTAATTTAGGGATTGATTTTCAAAGAGTCAGGCATACAATTTCAACAATTAACATTTTTGAGATTTCTACACAATGTACATGTAGAAAGAATGTATTTCTTCCATGAAGAGTGGTGAAGATTTTTTTAAATAACGAGTGCCTAAAGTTAGTCTCCTAAATGCATTTAGGCACCTGGGCTGAAATCAATGAGAGACATTCTCTGTCCAACACTTCTGAAGATCAGGGCAGTTATTTAGGGGACTAAACATGGATTTAAGAGCCTAACTTGAGGGACCCATTTTTTAAACCCCAAACCAGTGTTGGTAAGTGTAATAGAGAGAGACAGAGAGAACAGAATAATATTGATTCTAGAAATAACTACTGTACATACAGAAGTTCTTACCTTCCATTAACACAAGCAAAATGTCCCTTAAAATGGTGATGGTTGTTGCCAGAACAAAGATAGAGAACACAAATGTGCAGACTGGGTCAGCTATTTGGTATTCTGGCTAAAAAAATATAAGCACATCACTTGATTAAATCCATCACTTTCAGTTTCTGGCTGACATTTTTAATGAGCTAATCAAAAAACAGTATAATCAAGTTATCTAACATAGTAACCATTGCTGATCTTCTCGATTAGTACAGCCAAGTTAACAGACAATTTTCTGATTGCATTAGTCTTTAAGACCTCGAGCCACTAAAGATGAAGGAGAGAGAGACACAGAACAATAGTCCTTCTGGCTTAAACCCCAAGGGAAACCTGTTGTGCTCTCAGCCATTTTATTCCCAGAAATGAACATAACTGTCCTGGACTAAATTACAATATATATCATTAAGACAGAGAAAATATGTACATAGCATCTAACGACGGTGTTATGAAAATACCTGCATCATTAATTGCTATGAAGGTGAGTAAACCCAATAAAACTGACCTTAAAGAATATTATAAGTGCACTAATTAGCACACTAATGCTCTGAACTAGATCTCCAATGGCATGTACAAAAGCTGCCCTCACACTGGCATTGGCCAAAGCTGGCTTCTGTTGAAGAGCTGGTATATGTTCATTGGCTTGTGCTCTGTGACTATGTCCAGGCCCAGTCTGGTGCAGAGTCAGACTTAATCTGAAAGAGATACAATGCTGCAAATATCAGCGAGATCATACTGTCTGAAAGAACAACAACAAACACTTCAGCATTGCAATTCTTAAAGCAAAAGGCAAGCAATAGCAAGCGTATGTGTAAATATATGTAGATATTGTCCACTCCAGGGAATCTCAAAAAATGATTAAGTATTTAATATACAAAAAAGACAACTTACATGACATTGGCTATCACTGCACAACCAGAAGTAATGAGCATCACTGTAGCTTCAATCTCAAAATCTGGGTGCAGCAGTCTCATGCTCGCCAAATATGTCAACACGCCAGTCACCACCCAAATGATTAGCATCGACATCAAAGCACCCAGAATTTCTAGGGGTTAAAACAATTGAATTTTAGGGGCATTTTAAATAAAATGCAAGGAATTGGCTAATGGATGAGCACTAACACTTTCCCCATTAGAAAGCAGTTCTTATGTGTTTGCAGGTCCTAATATTCAAATCATGTTGGGTGACATAAATCTGGTTTCCCCAGGGTTGACTCTTGTTGCAGACTTATGGGCATGGTTTGGAATGATGAATTCATACATGTTCCCATGAGCTTGCAGAGTGTCTTCTGGTTCACGAAACAGGAAGGTGACCTGCACCTTGGGATTTGTGCCCAATTGCTCCAGAAAACACCATGTGAAACTGAAATGCACTGTAGAATTGAAGCCTCAAGATGTTTGCAGATATCCAAATGGAGCACACTATTGCACAAACCTTTAGTAGACTGTTCATGAATGCAAGTCCTGTTTCTGGACAATAGTGAGTGCCCGTGTGGGGGCAGGGTGAGGCAGTGGGGAAGAAAGAGGGATGGGATAGGGCAGGGGGAAGAGAAGGGGATGGGGAAATGAGGCAGGAGGGAGGGGGCAGGGGACAGTGTGAAGAAAGAAAGGGGATGGGGCAGGGGGAAGAGATGAGGACGACTGTGAGTACCACCTCCTCACTTCTGGGCATCCATGCCAGAGGTGTCTGGAGAAATGGGGGCGGGGACATGTGCCCCCCACTAGCCACAGATACGTGTCACCTCTGGGGAGGATGATCATGCTCCAGGCTGCAGCTTGACCTGGACTGCCTGCAGCAGACAGCACCTCCCTGCTTGTTCATTGGCTTGTGCTCTATGACTGTCTAGACCCCTGCTGGCCATATCCAGACCCAAAGCTCTCTGCCAAAGCAGGAGGCTGCCATGTGAGGCCCATCTCTGGGGGGAGAACTGGTGTGGGGTGGAAATTTGTCCACCGGGTGGCTTCCCAGATATGGTCCTCCATGGCTTGATGGTTGGGATCACCTCTGCCCCTGAATGTCTGGGAGCAGGTGTCAATGAACGGGTGCCTGACTGGGCACCACAGCAGGCAGGGTGGTATATATATTGCATGGATGCAGCCCACATAACACAGAGCTGCATACGCAGCCCACAATGGTAAATAGGTTGAGAACCACTGATCTAATAACTTTGGCTGTAACATTCTCCAGTATTACATTTTCTTCTTTGAGGTTCCATGACTTGCTGTTTTCCATTTTCTGATGTATCCTGGGAGCTTTGAGAATATTAATAGATTAGCCTCACGAACCTGCAGACCTGTGCCTGATCTCAGAATACTTTCCAGTGTACTTGCTAGGACAAATTGCCTTTTCTATTTCACATGGTCATATGACAGTACATTTGGTACCTGCTCTGTGCCATCCAAAAGTTAACCTTTTAGTGGAAGGTTTAGATGATAACCACAGTGAGAAAAGGCTAATCAGGAAACTTGTCAAGTCAACCAAGATATGTGCTGCATCGGTTATCACAGCAAGACTTCCTGAAATTTGTCCACCTGTGTAAAACAAATACATGTATATAATAGGACATGTATCCAAGACTTTATTTGTTGTAAAGCTAAGGAAAACGTTATTTACAATGATAATGTATGGCATAACTTTAAACTCTTTACAGACTAGAAGAAGTTTTTATCCCATTCATGCATTCAAATCTTCCTAGTCCTGAAAAGAGTTGTATCTTAGTTTTACTAAAGCATCCAGGGGCTGGTAAATCTTAAACAGCAAAAAGACTTCAGGACCAGACTTCAAAGAGAAACTGCTGAGCTTCAGTTCATTTGCAAATTTGACACCATCAGCTCAGGATTAAACAAAGCCTGTGAATGGCTAGCCAACTACAAAAGCAGTTTCTCCTCCCTTGGTGTTCACACCTCAACTGCTAGAAGAGGGCCTCATCCTCCCTGCTTGAACTAACCTCGTTATCCCTACCCTGATTCTTGCTTGCATATTTATACCTGTCTCTGGAAATTTCCACTATATGTATCTGACGAAGTGGATATTCACCCATGAAAGCTGATGCTCCAATACGTCTATTAGTCTATAAGGTGCCACAGGACTCTTTGCGGCTTTTACAGATCCAGACTAACACGGCCATGCCTCTGATACTTAAACATGTTGTAACTCATTAGAAATGTGGTTTAATTGCTATTATAAAGTGGCAGAACAATTGCAGTCTCAAACATCCTGAATTACAATACTATTATCCCCCTAATATCTCCTCACAAATCACTGACATTTTTGTCAACACAATATGACCCCAATCAAACTTAGCAACACTCATGACCCAAAAATGGGTAAAGATGGCTTTGTTTGTTTCCTGACCCCGGGATGGCTGGTTCTCTGGCATAATTTAGAGCAACCTAAATGTAAGCAGGGGAATGGTCCCGCTATTGTGAGAAACTTTCCTGGCTTATGCGCTACCCCAGTGAAGTGGGCTAGCAAAAGGATTTGAGTCTTCACTCCCACTTCCTTTACCCAGAGGCCTGCTTGACCTCAAGGGCTCTCCTTCCACTCTCCTGTGTGGCAGAGTCCTGGTAACCCAAACGAGGCTGGGTCACTTGTTGTGGTCACTTAGGGCAGGGGCTAAGGTGTCCCCACTCCGGGGTGTTCTCTCTGCACTGGATGCTTCCCGGACCCACTGATCATTACATACAGTTCAAAGCAAATACAATTTATTAAACAGCAATCAATTTTTAAAAAGAAGGAAAAAATGGGAAAGGTGAAAGGAAAACACATCAGCCTGCTCTGTGGCATGGGGACATCACAACCAGCGTCTTTGGAATGTAAGGGAAGTTCAGTCTGTTCCTCACAAGTCCCAGGCCCCTTCTCAGGCCCTGGCTGTGCTGCATGGATGCTGCGGGTCAGACACTTGCTCTGGTGGTGGCCGCACGCTCTCAGGATCTAGGTGGCTGGACCCTTCTTCTCAGCGTCGCCCGCGCCCCGTCTGGTTGCTGCAGCTCTCCTCCCAGCACAGGTCTGCTCTGTGGGCTGCTTCTGTGACTCTGCTCCCAGCACTACCTGCTTCCTGGGCTGCTTTTCTGGACCCTCTGGATCTGGCACAGCTCTACTCCCCAGTTCAGCTTGGGCCCCTGCTTTCTCCTTAGCTCAGCTCCACGCTGTCTGACCCAGGCAATTCCAGCACACAGGGAGGACAGGACCCCTCCTGGCCTCCTGATTAGCCTGCCCATCCTGTCAATCAGGCTGACCTGGAGCATTTGGCCACTCCCCCATTGTTCCTGGGGACTGTCAGTCTCATGCTCCTGATTTCCCATCAACCCTTCGCCTTTCTTTTAGTACTGGGAGCTAGCCAACCAAAACACCCCCACTGAGTTTTAGTAAAGGGACAAGAGTCCCCTTTCATAAAGGCAGTGAACAACAGTAAATGGGATTTAAGGAAGAATCTAATAGAAAGACAGTATGTTCTGTGCCCTATTTATGTGATATACAGTATAGTATTTTTGGTAGGGGAAAGGAGTGTTACATTTGCCATATTAACCCTATCATTTTTTATATATAGGACATGCTTTAAGCTAGTCACTCTATGGACTATAGGCTGATCTAAATTATAGATTCATAGATATTTAGGTCAGAAGGGACCATTATGATCTAGTCTGACCTCCTGCACAACACAGGCCACAGAATTTCACCCACCACTCCTGCAAAAAACCTTGCACCTATATCTGTGCTATTGAAGTCCTCAAATCGTAGTTTAAAGACTTCAAGGAGCAGAGAATCCTCCAGCAAGTGACCCATGACCCATGCTACAGAGGAAGGCGAAAAACCTCCAGGGCCTCTTCCAATCTGCCCTGGAGGAAAATTCCTTCCCGACCCCAAATATGGCGATCAGCTAAACCCTGAGCATATGGGCAAGATTCATCAGCCAGATACTACAGAAAATTCTTTCCTGGGTAACTCGGATCCCACCCCATCTAATATCCCATCACAGGTCATTGAGCCTATTTACCATGAATATTTAATTACCAAAACCATGTTATCCCATCATACCATCTCCTCCATAAACTATACCATCTCCTCCATAAACTTATCGAGTTTAATCTTAAAGCCAGATAGATCTTTTGCCCCCACTGCTTCCCTTGGAAGGCTATTCCAAAACATCACTCCTCTGATGGTTAGAAACCTTCGTCTAATTTCTAGTCTAAATTTCCTGGTGGCCAGTTTATATCCATTTGTTCTTGTGTCCACATGCTACTGAGCTTAAATAATTCCTCTCCCTCTCCGGTATTTATCCCTCTGATATATTTATAGAGAGCAATCATATCTTCCCTCAACCTTCTTTTAGTTAGGCTAAACAAGCCAAGCTCCTTGAGTCTCCTTTCATAAGACAAGTTTTCCATTCCTCGGATCATCCTAGTAGTCCCTCTCTGTACCTGTTCCAGTTTGAATTCATCCTTCTTAAACATGGGAGACCAGAACTGCACACAGTGTTCCAGGTGAGGTCTCACCAGTTCCTTGTATAACGGTACTAAAACCTCCTTATCCCTACTGGAAATACCTCTCCTGATGCATCCCAAGACCGCATTAGCTTTTTTCATGGTCATATCACATTAGCAGCTCATAGTCATCCTGCGGTCAACCAATACTCCGAGGTCCTTCTCCTCCTCTGTTACTTCTAATTGATGCGTCCCTAGCTTATAACTAAAATTCTTGTTATTAATCCCTAAATGCATGACCTTACACTTCTCACTATTAAATTTCATCTTATTACTATTACTCCAGTTTACAAGGTCATCCAGATCCTCCTGTAGGATATCCCTGTCCTTCTCTAAATTGGCAATACCTCCCAGCTTTGTATCATCCGCAAACTTTATTAGCACACTCCCACTTTTTGTGCCAAGGTCAGTAATAAAAAGATGGTCCCAAAACCGATCCTTGAGGAACTCCACTGGTAACTTCCTGCCAGCCTGACAGTTCAGCTTTCAGTAGGACCCGTTGTAGTCTCCCCTTTAACCAATTCCTTATCCACTTTTCAATTTTCCTATTGATCCCCATCTTATCCAATTTAACTAATAATTCCCCATGTGGCACGGTATCAAACGCCTTACTAAATTTCTAGGTAAATTAGATCCACTGCATTTCCTTTGTCTAAAAAATCTGTTACTTTCTCAAAGAAGGAGATCAGGTTGGTTTGGCACGATCTACCTTTTCTAAAACCATGTTGTATTTTGTCCCATTTACCATTGACTTCAATGTCCTTAATTACCTTCTCCTTCAAATTTTTTTCCAAGACCTTGCATACTACAGATGTCAAACTAACAGGCCTATAATTACCCGGATCACTTTTTTTTCCCTTTCTTAAAAATAGGAACTGTGTTAGCAATTCTCCAATCATATGGTACAACCCCTGAGTTTACAGATTCATTAAAAATTCTTGCTAATGGGCTTGCAATTTCATGTGCCAATTCCTTTAATATTCTTGGATGAAGATTATCTGGGCCCCCCGATTCAGTCCCATTAAGCTGTTTGAGTTTTGCTTCTACCTCAAATATGGTAATGTCTACCTCCATATCCTCATTCCCATTTGTCATGCTACCATTATCCCTAAGATCCTCTTTAGTCTTATTAAAGACTTGAGGCAAAGTATTTGTTTAGATATTGGGCCATGCCTAGATTATCCTTGACCTCCACTCCATCCTCCGTGTTTAGTGGTCCCACTTCTTTCTTTGTTTTCTTCTTATTTATATGGCTATAGAACCTTTTACTATTGGTTTTAATTCCCTTTGCAAGGTCCAACTCTACTTGACTTTTAGCCTGTCTCACTTTATCCCTACATGTTCTGACCTCAATAAGGTAGCTTTCCTTGCTGATCCCTCCCTTCTTCCACTCCCTGTATGCTTTCTGCCAGAGAACCCAAAGGTTGATCTCAATTACACCAACTGCCAATGGTCACATGGGGCAAATATGGCAACCAGGGATCATTATGTCAGCTCTAAAATTGATGTTTTAGTAGCATAGAGCTGTGTGTGGCATAAAACACAGTGTAGGGTGGCCATAGTGCTGCAAAGACTCAGTGCCTATTACGTCAATCACATCACACCTTTTTTACCCTTTCTGAATCAACTGATTAATTCAGCCATGCCCAACTCACCTATTGATCTTAACTACACCCTGATATGAATACCAGTAAAAATTCTGGAAAATGTTACAAAAAGCAACATACCACTTTCAGACCATATACTTAGGGGTCAGATTTCCTCATATCTCCTGATTGTCTGTCTGTGGATCTCTTTATACCCACAAGGTTGCGGATACCGGTTCAAATTCCTCTCCACGTGAATCTTGTTGATCTGAATGCATGGACAAAGTTTCAAGTGCTATGTGGCTCGACAACATAGTTACTGTTCAGAAAATAGCTTGCTCCATAGGTGGTGCCAGACTTAAGCCTCTGTAGCCCCACAGGTGTGGCTAGGTTAGACTGATGCAAAATATGTTTCATTTGGCAATCAATGTTTTCTCCAACAAGATCCTTTCCAAATAATTA